AAAAAAAAAAAAAAAAAAAAAAAAAAATTCTTTTCTTTTCTTTTTTTCTGCTGAATTTTCGAAGTTAACAAATTTATATTAGAAGTCGTATTTGTGGCAGATATGACAAAACTAAACTATCAAGAACATATTAAGAAAAGTATAATATGTTTTGTCTTCATTCACATGCATTCTAGGAAACTTTCTCTAGGAGGTCACCCAATATAGAATTGTTCTAAGTAAAATAAGTTTAATCATGAAGTTTCTATAACTGAGCTACCTAAAAGAAAGGTATACCTTGAAGGTATAGGGAGTGACTTTCAATTTTTTTAAGTCTTTCTTAGTTATTCTATCCTCAGGATCAATGTGGTCTCGGTTCATTTATATATCTCCCATTTACTCGGGTGTCACATGCTCACCAACTTACGCCTTAGTTCATCACCAACTACATCTTACTAGGAGAGGTATTACTTTGATATCATTCAATAACGCCCTATACCTAGGGTTCGTATCAAGATTCGAAATCCAAATTCAGCAAATGATGGTCCCAACATTCTCCAACACAATGGTTATGTTATTTACTCTTCACTTTGTAAGAGTGAAGACTATCCCACATACCAACACAAATCCTTCTAGTATGTTTTGTCCTCGTCCACATGCATCTTCCGAGAATTCTGAGGAGGTTACCTATCATAAAATTTTTCTAAGTAAAACATGTTTAACTGTGAAATTTCTATTATTAAGTCACCGAAAAAGAAAGTGCACCTTGTTTGTATATGTAGCAACTTTCCATTCTTTTAAGTTTTTCATAATCATCCTATCATCGGGATAGCTCTCATTTGGATGTAGTCTTATTTTATTCATGTACCCTCTTTTACTCGAGTCTCAGTTAATAAAATATATCTTTATGAGAAAATATATTACTAAAATATCTAACATAAAGTATAGTATCAACATTCAATTTTTATGATTATTGTAACAATAATAAAATAGTTTCCATGGGAAGGAATGTCCATGAAAAGAGTTACTTTACTTTAAGCAGCCAAGAATGGGTCGTGATGAAAAAAGATAGTGAGAATCGAATTATCTTGAGCAGTGGAAAAATTAAGCATTTGACTTATATTTCTTAACCAGTTAATCTATGTTTAGTTTAGCTAGAGGCAAAATTAAACCTTCTTAGTTATGGTTCTATTTCATTAACCTTTTCATTTGTTAAGTAAGAAATTGGATTTATTTTTCATTTTCAGAATTACAAAGTAGCAAGAAACTTTGCATCTAAAAATGATGGGATATAGACGGGATCCATTTCTTATCTTGGTACCAAAATAATGACTTTACATATGCGTATATAGGATACGATATAAAATAATTTTATGAACACATGTTAAAGCTACTCAATGCAGGTATCGGATATGATATACGAGGTCAACCTTACATGTTATAACATAATTTATGATATGATCTACGAGGATATACTTTACATGTTTATGAGACACTAATAGACTCACTCTATGCATGTTTATGATATGATATATGAAGTCATATCCTATATATTTAGGACACACCTGACGGACTCACTTCTGGCATGTTTATGATATGATTTATGAAGTTATGTCTTACTTGTATGACATGTATGATAAAGTTGCCCAATGCATGGATGTGATATGATCTACATGGTGCCCTACAAGTTTAAGTTATATATATAGGTCACGCCCTTGATGATTGAAATTTTTCATATAAAATTTGGAGTACAATTAGCTACAAGATCTAAAATTCACTAAACGTGGAGAAAGTAAATAGCATTTGGCCTAACTAAGTTGAAGGTACGAACCCTATATCTAAAAATACACTCAGAGTAGTCGTACGTTTACCACGAACCGAGCAAAAACTGATGATTACAGAAGAAAACAATGGTTTATAACTTATGAAATGGCCTATAATATATAAACTACAAAAGGATTTAGTTTAAAGCATATGAACGATGAATTCTTGATTGTAATATATGAGTATTTAAGTTCATACAAGTAAAACTATTTATTGAGTATTGTTATACTTATTTTCTATGAGATCCCACATCGGTTTGAGAGGAGAATGAAGCATCCCTTATAAGGGTGTCGAAACCTTTCCCTAGTAGACGCGTCTTGAGGGGAAGCCCGAAAAGGAAAGTCCAAAGGGGATAATATCTCCCAGCAAGGACGTTAGCCTAGAAGGGAGATGGATTTGGTGGAGTCCCACATCAATTGGAGAAAGAAACGAGAAAGGAACGAGTGTTAGCAGGATGTTGGACTTCGAAGGGGGGTGACCCCACATCAATTGGAGAAAGAAACGAGTGTCAGCAGGATGTTGGACTTCGAAGGGGGGTGGATTGTGAGGGAAATCCCTTCAAGGTGGATTTGGTGGGGTCCCAATCCCACATCAATTGGAGAAAGGAACGAGTGTCAGCAGGATGTTGGGCTTCGAAGGGGGGTGGATTGTGAGATACGAAACATCCTTTATCAGGACGTGGAAACTTTTCACTAGCCGATGCGTTTTAAAAACCTGAGGGAAATCCCTTCGAGGTGGATTTGGTGGGGTCCCAGTCCCACATCAATTGGAGAAAGGAACGAGTGTCAGCAGGATGTTGGGCTTCGAAGGGGGGTGGATTGTGAGATACGAAACATCCTTTATAAAGACGTGGAAACTTTTCACTAGCCGATGCGTTTTAAAAACCTGAGGGAAATCCCTTCGAGGTGGATTTGGTGGGGTCCCAGTCCCACATCAATTGGAGAAAGAAACGAGAAAGGAACGAGTGTCAGCAGGACGTTGGGATTCGAAGGGGGTGGATTGTGAGGTACGAAACATCGTTTATAAGGGCGTGGAAACTTTTTCACTAGCCGACGCGTTTTAAAAACCTTGAGGGAAATCTTGAGTGAAACTCAAACAGAACAATATCTACTAGCGGTGGGCTTGAACAGTTACATTTTCGATACTCTCTTTTTAAAATTAAATTTGAACTTATGGCTCATGGCAATGGGATATCAAGCAACTATGATCTTATTAACCTCATACACAAGAACATGATGCTGTTAATACTCATCAAATAAACCCAAACATACAATTTGATATTTAATACCCAAATGAAAGCAGGATTGACCCAAACATACAATTTGATATTTAATACCCAAATGAAAGCAGGATTGACTAGCTAGCAACCTAGCTAGATAGCCCTCCTTTACTTTTTATTTATACAGAATATTAGAACTCCAAACATGAAAGTAAACAGGAGCATGAACTTTAAACTTGTAATTATAATGGTGCATGAAACAAAATATATCATTATTAGCGAACGAGAAATTACATTTAACCACAGCGCTTCCTGTTCTGGAACCTCTCGGCATAGTCCACGAGCCTTTCGAGCTCATCCTCGTCGATCAAGCCATCGCCATCAGCATCCGCAAGAGCCATGCCATAGTGAGCTTTGTGGTAAGGAAGCATGCAGCCGAGGAACCCAAAGGCCTTCATCACCTCCTGCATGGAAAGCTGACCATCACCGTCGATGTCATGCTCTCTGAAAATCTCCTTGATCTCCTCTCGAGAGAGTCGCATCCTGTTTGATACACTTGACATCTCTTGAGAAATTATCAAATTTTTTGTGTCTTACAAAATGTTTGTGCCTTATTTTTTGCTTGATGGTCGATGTAAGGTTTTGTGGGTATTTATAGGACAACCCTTACACTTCATTGCTTGATTCTTTTTCTCAAATTAAAGTATTATTTTAAATATTTAGACTTTTTTTTGTTAAGATAATTAAATTTAAAAATACTATATTGAGAATATGTTTCCATACTTTTCCAACTAAAATCATCTCTAAATATTCAATTTTTTTTATTCCATTCGCTAAAAAAAAACCTAATAGAGAAAATATTATCAGTATTTTTTCTCGAATATTTTTTTGTAAGAGTTTCGGCCCTATATTAAGCCCTATGTTAGTGGTTTTAAAATGTATCTTTTATAGAGAGGTTCTCACACCCTTCTAACATATGTTTCGTTTCTCTCTCCAACATCTCACAATCCATCCCATTAGGGGTCATCATCCTCGATGTCTCGTCCTCATACTATTTGTAACAGTCCATGCTCATTGCTAACAGATATTGTCTGTTTGGTCCGTTACGTATCGCATCAGCCTCACGGTTTTAAAACACGTCTCTAGGGAGAGGTTTTACACCCTTATAAGGAATGTTTTGTTCTCCTCTCCAACATCTCACAATCTGCACCCCTTAGGTGCCAATGTTCTTGCTAGCACACCGTCCAGTGCCTGGCTTTGATACCATTTCTAATAGTTTGTATCTACAGCTAGCAGATATTATATGTTTTGGTCCATTACGTATCACTGTCAGCCTCATGGTTTTAAAACGTGTCTCTAGGGAGAGGTTTTACATCTTTATAAGGAATGTTTTGTTCCCCTCTCCAACATCTCACAATTCGCACCCCTTAGGGGCCAACGTCCTCACTAGTACACTGTTCGGTGTTTGATTCTGATACTATTTGTAATCGTCCATATCCATCGCTAGCAAATATTGTCTACTTTAGTCTGTTATGTATTGCAGTAAGTCTCACAGCTTTACGCGTTTTTTAGGGAGAGGTTTCCACATTCTCATCATGAATGTTTCGCTTCCTCTCTAACAAATGTGACTTTTTAAATTTTGTAACTATGGTATGATTTATGGATTGAGTTATAAATTTTCTTTATTGCTTATTTAAATTTAAAATCTAATTATGTCCGATTTAGTTTGAAAATTAAAATGTAGAATAGATTAGGTAAAATTTACTAAAGTCGAGCTATGTTAAAAGAATTTATTCTTTTGATCTTGAGTACTCGATCAATGTTCCATCCAAGATGGTTGAAGATGCTCTTGTCAATTTGCATTTTTATCTTTTTGGCTTTTTATTTAGTTCTTATCTTTTTTGCATTTATTCTTACATATGTAACCATGCTTGATGCCTTACAATTCATGATAACAATTTTCGTATTCATCACAAATTCTTTCATGCACAAAAACTATAATTTTAAAAATTCTTTTTTTTTTTCAAAATTAAATAAAAAAAAAATAGACAATGGTTATCCTCACAACTTCCGTACACGATTGGGTTTGGATGAAAAATGGTTCGTATCTAAGTTAGAGAGAAAAAAAAAGCGAGATTAGAATGTCACTAGAAAAAAACGAATCTATGATCTTTTAATTAAAAGTATATTTCATAACTAGTTGATTTATACTTAAGTCGGTGAAAAGTGAATTTTAATCTTTTAACTTAGCTTTTGTTCTATCTAATTAATATTTTCGTTTTAACTTCATCTCCTCTTAGCAACCTTTACTAAGACCATGATTTACAAAGACTTTGAATATTGCGAGAGAGACTAGTCGCCAAACCACTTTAGAATAGGTTAATCGTCGAAGATAGGAGTATACACGAGGTGGGTTAGACTGGGTTGGAAAACTTTTTAGATCAACTCAAAATTTTGGGTTGGTTGAGTTGGTCACCCATGTAAGATTCATAGAGTTCACCGTCCAATTCAGCCACTGTGAGGTTGTTTTTTTTTTTTTTTTTTAATTTTTAGTTATTCACCATACACGTTATATTAATAATTAAAATCTCGTAAAATTCAAATATCAATCACTTAGAAGTCACAACGCAGAACTAGTTTACAAACATTAAATATTCTTAATCTTTTAAAAGCATAATAGAATTGAGTTAAATTGGGTTGTATTGTAACCTTATTTTAGGTGACCCGAACAAAAAAAAATCAACCTGTAAATTAAACCAAATCTTTTATTTTACAACAATTCAAATGGAAAAATAAATCTAATCTAATCCAATATTAATGGTTTGTGTTAGATATGTCCTATTAATGGATTATTGGATCACATGAATATTCCTAGTCGCAAATGAGCTCTCCCCTCTTATCTTAGATCATATGTTGGTTTTATTTTTCATTATTTAGAATGAAAAATTGGCAAGCAACCTCCCATCTAAAAAAATTATGAGAGATAGTAAGCATTTCATTTCATGATGCCAAACAAATGAGTTGGACATGTGCTTGTGGAAGCATATTAAATTTAATTAAAACTTTAAACCTCCTTTTATAATACAAAAATAAAATCGAAGGCATATTTAGATATATGTTATGTTCATTTAAAGAGATAATGGGATATGAGATATAATCTGTGGACTAGAAATACGTTTTTGATCAAAATTCTTCTATGACTACTAGCTCTTAAGTATCCCTCGCCCGAACAGCAAATTAAAGTTACTACTTATACCAACAACATGCACCTTCATTTTCGGTG